CGAGCAGAGAGACCTCGTACCGCCTCTTCTCCGGGATCCAGCTGAGCACGGCGCCGCGCTTGCCGTTCATCTCCTTTCCTGCTTCGGAGGTGAGGCCGTGGATGAACACGATAGACCCCTCGAGCGGCTCGGCCGGCTGCGCAGGGGGCGAGGACAAGCGACAAGGTCCGGGTTGTCGGCGCGGTCGATTGGCGCGGGACAGTGGGGGCGGGCGGGGGGCGGCTATAGGGCGAGTGCGGGCGGCGCCAGACACCTCGGCGCTCGCGTCGTCGGTCGCCGCCGCCGGGGACGGGGGCGGGTCGGCAAAGGGGCCGCACGATGCGAGGTGGCGCAGCGCGGGAGCAGCGTACTGGAACGCCTCGTACTGCGCGGGCGTGGGCGGGGGAAACACCTCGCAGTCGACGAGGCACAGCGCGGCCTTTTGAGCGAAGGACTCGTACTCGGCGCGCGTCGGCGGCCGGCTGGCGGCCTCCTCCTCCGTCAGGACGCCGAGCGTCTGCATCATCGAGAGCGGCTTGACGGCGAACGCCGTCGGCTCGTTCCGCTCGTCCGAGTACGAGCGCACAACCACGGCGTGCTTGCCCAGAAGGACGAGCCCGTTCATGCCCGGCTGCGGCACGGGGCCAGTCGGAAGGGCGGTGCCGAGGCTCAGCAGCACGCGAGGCAGGCCGCCGCCGTCACCGCCGTCGGTGAGGCTGTTGGGCGCGAACTCGTACTCGTCCTCCGCCTGCAAGCGCGCCATCTGGTGCCGGAGCGCGGGCCGCATGAAGGCAGCCAGCACTCGGCCGTCCTCGTTGCTTCCGGGCTCGTCCGCGTCGACAGGGTACGGGTGCATCCCGCTGGGAAGATCATGGCACAGCACGTGAAGGCGGCCAGAGGTAATCATGTCGATGCCGCTCATGAGGACGTGGACCTTCCCCCTCTCCTGGCCCACCTTTGGCGACACGATCGCGGCGACGACCATGTCACGGTCGTGGAGATAGACGATGCCGCCGAGGTGGTCGCGCGGCTTTGGGCCAAACGGCGGTGTGACATGGATTCGAGCCTTGACGGTGCCGTCCGCGCAGGGCACGAGCGTGAGCCCAATCGAGCCCGTCTCGCTGCCCTCGTGCGTGAGCCCAATCGAGCCCGTCTCGCTGGCCTCGTGCGTGTCGATGAAGCGGGATCGCTTCCGCACCTTGAGGGCCGTGCGGACGGTTGCGGACGGGACGGGCACGGATAGCATCTCGCGCCGCTTTGCCGCGACCTATTCGCTCAATCATGTGTTATTAGACCCACTATAATGATGCACATAAATAAGCCACACCAAGATCGTGCAGGGCAGGGACACATGTCCCTAAATCCCATCTCGTCTCAGAGCATGATAGTTTCATTATTAGTGCATGGTCGATTGCACGACGCCGGGGCGGGTGCGGCTAACCTGGCTGGGCGTCGCGCCTCCGGGTCCCGCCTCGAAGCGGACGAAGACGAAACCACCCGACACCAGGCGCTCGGACGGCAGCGCTTCCTCGGGGTCGGCCAGCATCCGTCCGCTCGAGATTAGCGTGAGCGCCCCGCCTTCGGCTGGCAGTCCGAACTCGGCACGGATGGCAACACGCAGCGCACCAACGGTTGGAGGAAGCGGCAGGGTTGCCGCCCGCTGGCCGTACTTGACAGTGAGAGAGGGCATCGTTGCGAGACCGTCGAGGCTCAAATTAGAAGGCTGGATTGAGTGCAGCCTCGCTCTCAATCCTAGAGTCGAAGGATTGCGCGCTGCTGTTTCTCCCTTTTCTCGACTGTCTGAGCTTGTGCGTCTTGGGTCCGTGGTTGTGTTTTTGTGTGAGCAGCACTCCTCGCAATCGTAGCATCTCTGTGCGATTGTGAGCACTTACGCTCGCAATCTACATTTTCTTGGACTAACTGCAACAACAAATAAGAAAGAGCAGCTCAGCTCCCACCCAAGGTGACTGGTGACGCCTACGACTATACTACCATCGCGCTTGCAATCCGAGCAAAGTCTAGGGTTGCGAGCAGCTCTCACAATCCTAGCATAACATGCCTCCGATTGCGAGCAGTAGCTCTCGCAATCTTGGAGCACTTGGAGTGCAATCCTACATATCTTGTAGGACTGTATGTGTGTAGCGGCTGCGCTCACAATCGTAACAACGATCCAAGGATTGCTAGCAGGCGCGCAGAGGGCAAGCGCTCGCGGCTGGAGCGATTGGGAGCGCCCTCTGG